TTGTAATTAACCTGGGTCATCATTGACCAAGTAAAAGGGGTCGGTGTAGTTGGACTTGGGTTAGTCTAACCTAGGTTAATAATTTCAGGGGTAATCAAGGGGTAATTTGGGCAATTCAATTAAAGAATCTTGCAGTAACTGAAAATAGAAGCCCCTAGAAGCTTCTAGATTGGGGTTCTAATTTGAAATTCAGAAACTAAGTAGTATAACTTGGGTAACAAGTCAGTCCCCTAAGGGCTTTTAAGCTAAAAACTGAAAACTAAGAGGGGCTAAAGTGTAAAGTAAAAATCTGAAAGATGCCCTAATTTTTGCCTATAAAAGGTAGTCTACCCTGCCTTGCAAGGGAAGTTTTGGGAGATCTGAAAAATTGAAAATTTTGAAAACCTTAGTTTGAAAGGGAAATTTTCAGATCTGAGAGTTTTGAAAAGTTCTAAAAATCTGAAAGTTTGAGAGAAGTTTTTCTTTGAGAGCCAAAATTTTCATTTTCCAAACGATTCCTGAACAGTAGAAGCATAAAATGAATTGAATCAGTTGAGTATTGGGTCCAGTTTGGGTTAGATCTTTGATAATTGGTTTCTATAGACATTGTTTGATTTCAAGTGTGGTCCAATTGGGTTCTCTTGGTCATTTCTAGGCAATTTTGGCTGCTGAAACACTATCCTTGTTGTTGTTGTGCTGAGTTTGATGTACCTTACCTCTTCATTGTTTTCCTCTTGTTTCCAGGTATTCTCTTAAGATCCTACTTGAAGGCTACTCTCTGAACATGTAAAGGATTTGAAATTCATGCTAAATGAAGAAGATATTGGAAGTCGAATATGTTTTTCTCATATTCCTAAATTAGAACTAGGACAACACATGTTGATTAGAGCTTGTTCACTGAATTTGAGGTGTATAAAGGAATTTAGTGTTGTGAACTTGCACTTAAGCAAACGATGGACTGTAATCATCTATCTTCATGCTTGATTTTGTATGTTAGGATCATTTGAACTTAAGTGTGTTTAAGTTTAATATTCCAGCTTGTTTGAATTATAAACGTTTGCTTAAGTTCAGAAAACTTGTTAGATTCAGTAAATATCCCTGTTTAGTTTATTAGGTTGACGTTGCTTAATCATGACAACATTAGGTGATACTCTCATATAGTTCATAGGTTAACTGATCGAAGGGAAATATTATTTGATGGACTGCATAACACTTTGTTCATATGAGTTTTTCCGTGAAAATTGCCTCCTGATGAACACGGAAATGAATTTCTAAAATCATATTGTCAAGAAGTTTTTGAGAATGCAAATCTGCAATTACTCTATTTTCAATTCATGACCCGATTTGTATTTAGCAACCCTGAAGTCTGCATTTAAATTTTTTGACAATCATGTGTTTTAAATTCAATAATATAGTTAGATTCAAAAGAACTTATACTGGCTATTTGTTGAATGTGTGGTTAGCACATTGAGGAGTGGAATTCGGACTTCTCCCTGGGCCCAATAATTGGCCACCCTTTACAAAGGAGGCCCAAAATATTTTCTGTTGTGAGGTGGGCCTCCAGTTAACTCATCATGGCCCAGATCAGGCACTGGAAGTGTAGTCAGCTTAGCAGATTCAAATGTGGAGTATTGGGCCTTTCCTTCAGGCCCAGCTATATCACATGTGTGTTCTTGTGTTTAGCAATTGGAAGTTAAATCCACAGCCCTATTAACTATCTTAGTCGATTAATAAAACCCTTAGAATAATTTTAGGAGGGCCATCTTAGATAACACAATAGTCCATGGCCCTTCAAGCTTTAGTCGAATATCCTTTAAAAAATGAAATCGAGGTGCGCCGCGCCAAACAAAAAATCACAAAAATGCGTGGCCCTCTTTAATTACTTCTACTAAAATACTTAGAAATCGGGACGTGCCATTTAGCGAATTTTCATGGCCTCCCGCAAAGTTATCAACACGTTAGTCGCTTTAGGCGCGTATGTTAATAATCTACTTACCTAAACTCGGGTGCACATTTATGTGACCCAAATCCAAATCTCAACGGTGTTAAAATATGTCAAAAACCACGGGTGCATTTATGTGACGTGGTTCGAGACGTGTTTTAATAACGTTGTAAAATTCCTTAAAAATTAATTTAAAGCGGTGAATAATTTAAAATTACACTATAGGTTGAAACAAGTATTAAAATCAGGTAATAGGATAATTATGATAGTTTTAGCGACCGTGCTAGAACCACGAAATCCGGGGGTGCCTAACACCTTCCCCCGGGTTAACAGAATTCCTTACTCAAGAATTTCTAGTTCGCAGACTTCACTTGGAAAGTCGAAAATTTCCTTGATTTGGGATTCGAAATAAACCGGTGACTTGGGACACCAAATAAACTATCCCAAGTGGCGACTCTGAAATAAAAAATCCTATTTCGAATAATGTCGCTTAAATTGGAAACACTCCCTTATACACAACCTTTCGGGGTGGTGTGTAAAAAAGGAGGTGTGACAACTCTGGCGACTCTGCTGGGGAACAAACCCAGAACTTCGATTCAGGGTTCAAGAATTCGATCTTAGAATAGCTGTTATGATTGGTTTATCTGTTATCTGATTTTCCTACATGCTTCATCCTAGATGTGCTAAATGTTTTACCGCTTTGATATTATCTGAATTGTATATATAAAATTGTTACGAAACCCTTCTCTTCTCATCTTCGGGGATGTGCTCGCTGGTCGAGACTCCCTATTCTATTAGTGTCATACCTTAAAGTAGGAAAGAGGCCGGACAAGTTACTAAGCCGGATGGCCTTTTGGTTCCCGGTACGCAGCCCCTTCCTCGACTCGAGTTGTCCGCTTGGGTACACAGTCTAGAACATATACCCAGGTTTTGAACCTAGAATAACTCAACCTCATGCCGGATCCCTAGTAGGAACGCTTGTTTGCATCATGTGCATTTGACTTAAGGGACTCAACACAGGGGTTGGGTCCGTCTAGGACAGGTAACCTGAAATGAAAAGATCATCCCGATGCATCCTACTTGCTACTTGTGCACTTATTTGCTTCGGATCTGCATGTT